GGTTTTTTTTTTTTTTTTTTTTTACCATCCGCGGGGAACGTAAAAACCCAGGCCGCGAAACGGGGACGTTGGCGCGTAACAAATGTTTCATAATAACATCCTTGTCACGTATGATCCACAGACAACGAGTTCGTCGCAAGGTAGAAACACCGAAGGTTTTTGTGTCGCGATGCAACGGAGATGATCGCGCGTTGTGCAACTGACTTCGCGTTATCTGCCAATTACAGTGGCGATCGACCGTTTAATTCTTCGATTTTCCCAGATCAGGTTGACGATACTGTATTTTTACGAAACAACGCTGTCTCGTTAGTTTGGTCTTCAAGATGCCGCATTACGCGTGGAAAAGCGACTCGTTCTATTCTTCTCAAAAGAGGTAGATTATATTCGTCGGAGAACTGCAGGCAGAGCATACGATAAAACGAAATCGTATCGACGACATTTGTACGATCAAACGTTTGATTTTGCATAAGCGTCTCCAATCAGGTTTTGTGTAATCAGAATTGAAAACTGTAGGCTGATTTTGTAGTTGTTGACGCGCGGTACGAAACGGGGTACCGATGTAATTTTATTTTCCATTGGAACAAGTAATCGTTACGAATTGTTAGAAATTTTTTAATTGTCAATGTTACATAAATATTCTTATCTATTTGGCCACCGCTGTATGTGCAACTATATCTACTAGTAAACGCTGCGTATCACCACTTTGGATCAGCTTTATCACAAAATGATAAAACACTCGTCGTTCGAGCCGTCTGTATCTGTGGATAGAAACTTAAAAAGAGAAGAGGCCTCGGTGGAAAGGCCGATGATCGATTCGCTAATCGAATGAAGCGACGTGAATTATTTCCAGTGGTTCGTTACGATTCCGTTATCGGGAAACGCGAGATTGAAAATGACTCGATTTTACGCGATCGACGTGCATTCGTCTGAAACGCATTCGATCACGGAAGATGAAAGAGCGTCGCGTCGATTTTAATTATTAGCGCGATTGGTCGTCTCTCGCGTGTTCTTCTTTCTAAGATTTCAAGCAGACTTCGAAGGGAATCGAAATTGCAATTTGCCGGATGACGACGACGTTTCTCGATGCCTTTGTTTCGCCTTTCTTTTTTCGTAAAACAGCTTCGCGTCATGCTCATGCGTGGAACTTTAATAATCTCCGCCCACGTTTTACGCGTAGGTGCAAAGCAATTGCAGCTTTGTATCGCGCTACGACCTCGCCTCTTCCCAGAAAATTATTTACTAATCCCAATTTTCTCTGGCTATCGATTTACGCAGCAGTGTCCTCGTGCTTGAATCGAGTGGAACGTTCGAACGAATAATTTTAAAATACATTTCTTACAGAGAAGTTCGATTCAACGGAGTTCATCGTCGAAGAAGCATTTTGCACGATCGAAGTTGCGCCATTAATGAAATTTTATAAATCTTAAGTTATCAGTCTCGACGATAGAACTACCAAACTAGTCGACCGATGGTCGAAACTTTCCGTGAATCCGTCACAGTGCACAAGCGTCGGAATATTTAAATTGCACATTTAGCGATGTAGCAAATTCCTCGTAGCAAATTATCGAATGTCCATTAATCGCGAACCAAAGACTACGTGGGTACGGATCATTTGGAAGCATTAAAAAGTCGCTAAAAAACTGCTGTTTACATGGAGTCTGTGGCAAAAAGGTTTGCGCGATTAGCGATCACGCGTAACCGTAGTGAGAAATTGTCTGCCTCTACGAAACAAACGTATCCACGATATTCGATTAACCATACAATTGATTCTTTGTAAAAATTGCCCTCGTTACCGAAGAAAATTAATATCCCGCATTTGTAAGCTCCGCGAGAGCACAGAATCGCAGGAGGAAAGCAAGATGGGAAATATCGATTTTACGTATCGAGCTATTATTGACAGTTTGTAAAAACAGTTTACGCGATTAACGTACCCGTCCGATATTGCGATTTCAGCCGCAATAAGAAGAAAGCACACGGTAAACAGAAGTTATCTACATCGGTAGCTCAAGTGCGATCAAAAATACGCGGAAAAAGCGAAATTGGTCGGGATAAATCCTCTTCTCGTGATAAAGTAAAATTACCGGTGAAATGTTGACGATTCTGAAAAACAAACCGGGATGAAATATGAATAAAAAAAGGTATAGCTGCGATGACAAACGAAGCAGACGAATTTATCCCGTGAATTTATCATAGTTATCGGGATTCACGCGTGCATCCGACGAACGGTATAAACGACGAACAGACTACGTATAGCTTCCGAAAATTCGATCTTTCGGACGGATAAAATGAAAGAACGACCGAGAACCTGACCCGAATTGGCGGAAACAGGAAGCCGTTTCTATTTCTAGTTTACGAGAGCAACGATACTTAACGCGAAATTCTACCGGTTTCTCGAATATCCCGAGCGGCGAGAAAATCGGTCGAGACACTCGCGTACAGGCTGTGAAAAATGCGTAGCCTGCGTGAACACCAGGCGACGAAAGAAAAATCTAGGTCGTTGCTGGAACGCGTCGAAGATATCTCGCGATAATATTAAAACCGCTTTACGTTGGAATAGCGCGATGGCGGCTTGTTCGCGAATCCAAGTAAATAGAAGCTGAATTTTCCACCGTTATTTATTCCGAGAACCGTTGCTGGTGTCACGGACGAAATCCGACTAAACAAAGCGATAAAATAGCGAAATTCCAAGCGCCTTAGCATGAGTGACCATCGGGATAACATTCGGTCACTCTATCCGTTCTTCGAAATATATGATCGAAGACTTTTCCCACTCCCACGAATAAAAGAATTTAAATACTACCCCTAAAATCATCCAAAGTAAAAAATAAAGTTTCTTTTTTTTTAAATTTCTTTTTATTCTACGTGACACCGGTCCGTTCTTAGCCGCAGAACCTTTGCAATTCCGCTCGATTTCTTGGGCCGCGATCGTTGCGCGAATCTCGACCAACTACTTTTGTACGTGTACGTAGCAATGCGTAACGCGATCGCTTGTAATCCTACACGAGCAGAACCC